TTCCCTACAAAAAAATTCCCCTATTTCACAAATCAGCCTCTGACTGTGTAAACAGTAAAATCCCCCAGTTCCCAGCACTGTGCTCTGTTTTTTTAAAGCTTTAGATAAGATATATCCAGAAGCTGGTGCTGGAGTCAAGGCCCTTTGACACCAGCAGTCAGATTTGTGATAAACACTTGAAAGGAACAATATGCTCATCTTTATGAAGGTTAGTTATATTCCACAATTATAATGTATGTGTAATGTAATTAAACTTCAACAGGTTTTGATACCTTTGCAGTTCATAGCTAACCAAAACCAAACAGTGAAGGACTATGTGTGGAGATAAGATATTTAATTCAGTGTTGTATATCCAATGGTGAATACTTTTGATTGAGCTATTGCCTGGTTATAAGGTAAGATAGCAGCCTCTTCTCCTAAATAGAATAGCAGGTAAATATATAGTCTAACAAGTTTTTAGTTCAGCTATGTCTCTGGCAGCTACCTAACCAGAATGCAAGTTACTAATTTGATTTAAAATGTCCAGGCGAATTACATTTACAGCATGCTGTAACATGTTTAGCATTTGTAAATGTGGCAAAGAGAAAACCAAAACCTAGAAAAACACTGGTAATATAAAAACAAATACTTTTTGAAGGCAGTGATGGAATTTCTTTTTTTTTTTTTTTTTTTTTTTTTTTCCCACTTTTTCATTCTTTAAAGATTAATAATTGTGAAAGATCTGTGGTTCACATTTGGAAACGTATGTCTCCATCCTCATAGATGCTGATGCTGAAATCCCTGGAGCCCCTGGCGCACCACTAGACGTGCAGTGCTTAGATGCCAACAAAGATTATGTCATTGTCTCCTGGAAGCAGCCCGCTGTCGATGGAGGAAACCCCATCCTCGGATATTTCATTGACAGGTCAGTGAGCACACCAGACTGGAGAATTCACATTGCTGCACATTCTAACTCAAAAACCTAAAAGCGTGTTGAAAAGCATGAGATAAAATGGTCATTGTTCTTTTCATTCTTGGAGCTGGCCAGAAGAAAATTGGGGGTTTTTTTTGGTTTTAGATTGGCTGGGCCTGATCTAACTTTCATGGAAATAATTACTTCCTGCTTAATTTAACTATATAGAAAGGATTCTGCGAGACACTGCATAACTCAGCCCTCGCTGCTCCCCGTGAGGCTTGAGAGGCCTCGGGACTGTGCAGCATTTGGTAGCTTTCAGGATCAGCTCCTTCCGTATCAGTGCTCTCCTGCCTCTTTCCAAATACTTACCACATACCAGAAACCAAAATATTATCTCAAAGGGACTTGGATTTCTTTTATGCACTGTTGTTTTCCAAGCTCTTAGATTCATAAACTTCATGCAAAACATGCTGACATGTTTTTCTCAGCTACAATAAGAATTTGAAATAATTTTTTAAAATACAAAACCTGAATGTGTCACACAGCGGGCAGGATTCCAGAAGCTTGGTATTTAAGAAATTCAGTCAGTATTTTGAGACTTGCAATGATCTTCAGAGCTGGTAATATTTGTTTGAATTTCAGTAAGAGTGTACATCATCAGTAATATGGAGGTCTTGTGGGCTTATTCAGATGCATGTAAAAAACTCCCAAACACATATATATGTGTGTGTATATATATATATATAGAATAAATATGCCACTATATTATGCCATTTTATATACATAAACTATCTATGTGTAAAAAGAGGTCATTGCTTTGTGAAACACCTAACATCAGTACATTCAATTCAAATATAATTTTACTGGTTTGATAATTTATGAGTGCCAGTTGCTGCTGTAACTATGCTGTGCTAGGCCTAAGCTATAGCTTTTAAAATCCTAAACAAAAGACAGGACAGGACTCTGAAAACTAACATCTCCTTTTAAAACTAGGCTATTGAGAGATGTTAGCATTGAGAGTAACTGCAAGACAAATGGCATTTTGCTTTTTCTCTTGTGTTCACCTCCTTTCTACATTTGCTCCTAAATTCAAAGCTGGGTTACTGCTCTCCAGTATTTGATCCTACCTAAGGTATTTAGGCCCCCAAATATTCATCCAGGGTAGCCCCTAACTGCCTCGTAGAGTGAGTGGGTTGCCCGAGGCAGCGGGACCGGTCTGTGCTAACGCTAGAGGAGAAGCTCGGGCATCCTTCACCCCAAGCAGAAACCAGAACCACAAAACTGCCTGCAGCAAGACAGTAACAATTCCCAGAAAAGAGATGCTCACATGTACCAAGAAATCTGTGTAGGCACCGTAACATTTGCTTTGGCAGATATCTCAGCAGCAATAGAAGTCTTTCCCGAGCTGCTAGTTCATGTTCCTGATGACCATGTTGCTGGATACGGGGAAGCCATCCCCACAGGCTTCTCCTGGCTTCCTGAACCGCAGTTGCTGCGATCCCTCCCTGCTGCTGGTTATCTCTTCCTTCTGCCACAAACCAGCCTCCTGCCAGGTGTGAGGCTTCACAGCAGCAGGATCACCACCACTCTAACGGGTCTTGTTGCTGCAGCCCCAGCACCGCAGGCTCCCCTGGCAGCCCCAGCGGTGTTTGAAGCACAGTCCGGCTGAGTGCCCGACTTAAACCCCGTTCACAGCCATCTGTGTGCTGGGCTCATCACAGAACGCACAACGGAGGTCTCCACGCCCCATGAAGCCCATCATTTTGTGGGATGTACAGTGGAGCACTGTGCATGAAAGATGAACCAGTAGCCTTCTGGCAACTGCAAAAGATATATGTATTTCACATCCCTTCAAGTATGCTAAAGCTGACACTCCCTAAGCATCCTAGAGCATACTTCGGAGGGTTTAAACAGTGAAGTGAGTTCTGCTCATGTCCCTTCCTCAGTTCAGGAAAGAAGTGCAGCTGCAAGGGATTTACTGCATGCCCGGATGGTACTTCAGCCCTGACCCCTTAGTGCAGCTGCTTTGATGTCACCAGTATACAACGCTGCTGAGGAAACTGGTACGGACTAGCCAATGCACACAAACAGATGGTGAAGCTGTAGAGGGGGGTGGGTGCCCCAAGTTTGTGCTTTTCCCTTCCCAGCATGGCTCTTGCTGTTTGTATTTTTCAGGTGTGAGGTTGGCACCACTCACTGGACCCAGTGCAATGAGACTCCCGTGAAGTTTGCTCGTTTTCCTGTCACTGGTCTTATTGAAGGCCGTTCCTACATTTTCCGAGTCCGAGCTGTGAACAAAGCTGGCATTAGCCTACCATCCCGAGTGTCAGAGCCTGTGGCTGCTCTGGATCCTGCTGACAGAGCCAGGCTTAGAAGTAAGATGTGGTTTTTGCAGGCTGCCTGAGAGATTTAAGAAGTCACAACTCATTAAAAACAAAAGTATGACTATCTATTCATAAGCCTTTGAAATCCCACTAGAGGGAGCAATGCAAAAACAAAATATTCTTTGGAGACAGCTTTGCCAAGAAGAAATCATCTCAGTGCTCTTTGCACAAAGTCCTGTCTGCTGAAATGGCTTTGGTTGGCTGCGGTGCTATGCATTGAACTTGCAGGAAGCAGGGGAAAGGCACAGGAGAGTTAATTGACTAAAGAGACCTGCTTTTGTTCAGCCAACAAAATAGCTGAGTGGATCCTGTGAATAGTCTCTCTCTGTGCCACAGACAAGGGTGGCTGATTCTGTGCTCATGTGATGATCAAAGTCTTGCAATAGCATCAGCAAAATACCAGGGTAATCCAACAGATAATTGATGCCAAGCTCTCTGCTTTAAAGTTAACATTTCACAACCCAAGGATATTTTTCCTGTGGCCTGGCAATGTCCCAGACGTTTTCCTTCCAAATCCACCTCTCTATCCATATGCCAAAATCGTATACCTAAAATCCAATTATGTCTACTTGTTTCTTAAGTTTTACTATTTTAAATGGTCCAATGTGAAGGGGTACTGTATGCAAAGCTACAGGGCTCCCAGAGACCCAGATTGTATGTCTTACTGTATATAATGCTGCAAGCTACAGACTGCAGTCAGATGATCAAGGTTCCCATTCAAAATAAAACCAAAAGGTCAGAGAAAGGAGGTTTGGCACTACCAGGAAACACTGAGCTCAGACAGATCTGTGAAATCTGAAGTCTGACGGAGGCCAGCACGAAAGCTGTCTCAGGAGATGAAGTCTGGTCTTGGTGGCCTATTCTCATTGTATCTCCTCCTCTTGTTCCTCATGATCCTCTTGTCTCCCCACCTGCTCCCTCTCTGCTCACATTTCCAAAACAGATCAGCCAACGTAAAGTGAAGCATGTGGAGGTAGAGAACAGCATTTGCAAATATTATCTCTGAAAGTGCATTGACCTGGTTGATAGCTGAATGCATAACTGCAATAATATGATAACGTAGAGGTGCTGAGAGAGCCACCCAAAGCTTATCAAGTGGATATGTTGAGTCAGGCTGAGCAGTTTCTGTTTGTGACGGTGAACCATGATTTGAAAGCTGGTAATGCGAGGGAAAGTGGTTAAAAAGAGACAAAGAACAGCCTGTAGCAACTTGGCTGTTCCTTTAATGAATGAACTGTTAAATCGGATGAATAGAGTATGGAAAATAAAGGTGAAGTTAATTCTCTGAAAACGATGAGCTGTGTGAGCCAAATACCTCTGCTTGTCACCTAGGTGATTTCAGTGACATTTCAGGAAGGAATAGAGGTTTCAGTGGATTAAATTTTCTAGCTATATTAATTACTGAGCTGCTCTCAATATTCAAGCTGGTCATCCTACAATTAACTTGGGTAATGAGCTTGCTACATGAGCAACAGTCACAGCAATGACCAAAAATGGAGTCATGTGAATCTTGCAAATGTTAGTTTTGAATCACAAAAGAGTTGGTTTTCTCGTTATTTTAAAAGTCCCTGAAGTCTCCCATGTCCATGATACATCTAACATCTGTTTCAGGTCACCCTTCTGCTCCATGGACTGGACAGATTATTGTCACTGAGGAAGAACCTACAGGTAAACACAGCCCTTTTGCCTACAAAAGTCAGATGTGAAGCTGGCTGAGTAATTAGAAAAACTGCCAGTGAGTTCAGCGGACTTTGGCACGCACCCAAAGTTCGTTGTTCTGAGAGTCACTTGACCTTGAATAACTCCCAACTTGGTTGTCAAGGTGAGGTTTCATTATCAGGACCTAAAAAATAAACATGCTTAGAGTTAAAAGAAGGATATTTAAACCCAATATTTAGAAGACTTTTAACTCTATGACTTAAAAAAATGTCAGGTGTGCCAAGGTATATTAATACTCCTTCTATATTTTATTTATAGCATTAATTCTAATAGAAATATGAAGGAATTAAATCCCAATTCCCTGTCCTATTCTTTTCCCCTGTTCTTCAGAGGGTGTTGTTCCTGGTCCACCTACAGACCTCCAAGTTATTGAAGCCACCAAGAACTACGTTGTGCTTAGCTGGAAACCTCCTGGGCAGCGTGGCCATGAGGGTATCATGTACTTTGTGGAAAAGGTAAAATTGGACAAAATCAGAATCATGTTGTGGCTTATACATTTGTTTTGCCATCTCTGCTGAACTTTTAGTTAACTTTTATTTCCACCTGAGACTTTCAAACTAGGGCCAGGACTAGCACTTGTATCTTCATCAAGATAACTGTTACTGTAGATTAAGGTAAACTAGGAAGAAAAGAAAGATGGGAAATAGGAAAGAATGTAAGAATGTGTCACACACTGTAATATCCTTTTATGAATTGTGTCATTGACCTACCCTGTTGTAGACAGGCTGACAAACTCCCTCTATGATGGGAAAGCACAGAGCAAAGTCACATGTGTGTGTGAGTATATATATATATGTGCATATATAT